GTTTTGCCTTCATTTTTAAGGTATTTTTGCTAGGTATACAATTTTAGAATAATAGGTTTTTTTGTTTGTTTTTAAATGTCTTTACTTTGAAATGGCATTCATTTCTCCTCTGGATTGAATACTTTTAGGTGAGTAGTCTAAAATTAGTGCCTCTTTTTCCCTGTACATAATATGTCTTTTTTTCTCTTTTTGCTTTCAATTTTTAATTGTGATATGCCTTGTTGTGTTTATCTTGCTTGAAGTTACTGTGATTTATCCTATACAGCTTACTGAGTTTTTGTTGGATATGTGGGTTTGTAGTTTTTACCAAATTTGGAAAATAACTGGACTTCATAACTTAAAGTATTTTATCTACTTTTTCTTCTATAACTTATATATATGTATCACATCTTAAATTATCCTACAGGTCACCAATTTGCTGTTCTTGTCATCTTTCATTTTCTCTCTGTGATTGAATTCATATTGTGATTTTTTTTTCCTCTGTGTAATTTTAATTTCTATCATAGTGTCTTAATGGTCACTGATCTTTTCTTTTTCATTAACTAATCTATTAATCTCAGATATACTATTTCATTTCAGATATGTAATTTTCATTTATAGAAATCATATTTTGTTCTTTGTTACATATTCAATTTATACCCCTGTTACATTAATATTTTTTCTTCATTTTTGAACAACATCTAATATTAATAATAAAGGTTTTAAAGTGTTAGCTAATTCCATCATCTCTAATATCTGAGTTATGGGTCACATTTTCCTGCTTCTTCACATTTCAGTTATAATAATTGGATAGCATATATTGTGAGCTTTACATTCTCAAGTGATGGTTTTTGTCATCTTTTTAAAGATGTACTGGACTTTGAAAAGTTTGTAAAGAAAGATTGATACTTAAGGGGCCTGTTTTAAAGCCTTTAAAGGTAAGACATGGAGTTGTCTGTACTCCAGATGTGGTTTAGCCCCACTACTTACATGGGCCCCACCTGTGTTCTCCACCGAAGGCTGAGTGTTCAACAAGGACTCTTGAACTCTGTTTATTTAAACATATTGTATGTGGTAGGAGAATAAGTCCAATGCCAGTTACTCCAGAATGGCCAGATGTAGAAATATCAACACCCTTTATTAAAGGATAGAGATCATTTTAAAATCATCATATGATTTTTCCATGTATAAAAATCATTAGTAATCAAAATATATTTTAGACATAAATTCAAAATTATAATAAATATGGTATTAAGTACTATAATTTCTCTACTTTTCATAAACACTGATGTTACTTCTAGATAATAACTTCTAAACTGTATTATTACTGTAAGAAAAACAGGCAAAAGCTATATTCAGGTTTAGTTATCTGTACGTCTTGATCTTCATATTTTAAAAATCCTCAAAATACTTCTGGTGTTCTTTTTTTCCTTTTTGATTGAATCACTTTATCAAAACCTAGCCAAGTCTTTGGGTACAACCATTTTTAACCACACTGATAAAAGTATTAAAACATTAAATAGGCTTGTAGTACTTAAGAACTTCTAAATGATTTGTAACAGTTTTATGATTTTTTTCTTTTCCTTAATCTTCAATACTACATTCATCACTCAGTCCAGTGCCTAGGATCACATATAAATTTATTTTATAATAGCTTGAACACTAATTCAGATCTCAAAATCAATCAGTTTAAAATTTTGACCTTTTCAGTAACTAACCCTATATTTGTGATTGAATTATTTCATCAGCTCACTTTGTTATATTAAGACAGGTGGTATTTGTTTGCCAACTCTTAGATTTTCCTTCATTCATACACTAAAATGTCTGTAAGTCTTAACTAGGTGAATGGGTACAGATGGCTCTCAGAACTCTTAAATACTTATTGTCAGTATTTAGGTCCTTAAAGGACAGCAGTTGTGAAGAATTTCATTCTGAATAGCTGCTATATTTAATAAGAATTATTTTGAGATTATCCACACATGTATATTCACGGTGTCATATATAAGCCAGCAGGTGGCAAATTTGAGATTTTTTTTTACTGTTGCTCTTATTGAAGATGTATTAAACAGCTTACCAATGGATCTCATAAATAGCTCTTTTGGTGCAGTATAGCATAAGAAAAATTAAGCCCTCTAATTGTAGAACCACTGGTATTTGGATAGCAATGTACTCATTTAGTTTTATCTTGTTACTATTTTATCCTATAGTTCTTTCTCTAACAAATAGTTTTCAGAGATATAGGATGCCAGTTTGAACTATTTTTTTGCTGTGATTTCCCTGATTAAGAGTAAATATTAGCTTCTCTTGCATTTACTTTGGGGGAGATCTTCATATCATTTATAAGGTCATTATATATATTTTTTCTCCCAGATCAGGTAATGTAATATTCTTTTGAAAGTTTTTACAGCACTGATCCTCATGTTTTTAAACACAAAACAATTTCTTCTGTAAGTAATAATTATTTTAATTTTGTTCCTACAAATATTTATGTTTTAGCATGATGTTGGTAGCCATTGATCCATGAAAATGAATTTAACTTCTTTCTTATACATTTGATTTTCAAAAGTTTTAGATTTTGTACCAATAATAAAGGATCAGTCAAGATTGCTTATTTTGAGGCATAAGATTAGGCTTTGGGGTATTTATGTAAACATAAAACTATCTATCATATTCAGAGGTAAAAATGCAAACATAATGCATGATTTACCTATTTCTTTCTCTCTGTGAAATCCACCTGTTGTTAACACTACCTCTATGTTCTCTACAAAATTCCTTTCCCTTCCTATAAGTTACATTCCTTCCCATATGTCTGCAGTCTATTTCAACAATACCTATAGTTTGTTATTCTCTTCCTAGTGCGGAATAACTTTTTTCATAAAAGGAGAGCAATGACTAAAGGCAAACCCAATTAGGTAGTGAGATGCTTCATGACTTCTACATATAAATCGGATCATTTAGATGACTTCTACAAGATTTAAATAAATAAACTATGCTTCATTAAATCCAAAAACTAATCTAAAAATTGACTTCTTCGTGGATTGAGTTTTTAAGAAGTAGAAAGTGAATCCATGAATTATTCACCATAAATGTTTTAGTTGTTTTCCAAGTATCACTGTAACTGAAGATTCCTTAAGGCCTAATAACTTATAATTCTCTCTTTCTTGCTTCTTTACTTCTAAGGGAAGAAGACTCAAATTTTTTAAAAAATATATAAATATGTCATAATGAGAGTAAATTATGGTATAAAATTGAATTTAACTGTGAAACAAGCCCTGAATCAAATTTAAGATAACTGAAACTGCCACTTATGCTATAGATCATATATCACTCAGCTTTAGTGTTCTCTTCATTGGGGCTTTTAAAAAAAGAAGCTTCTAAATCAGGAAGGTGTGAACACTGCACTAGTTTGCATATATTTAGAGGTCAAGATACCCTGGTCTTGTTAACGTGTCCTAATCCAATCCTCCTTTCTTCCATTTTTCTTCAATCCATGTCCAACTAGGGAACCCAGTTTTTAAGAAAGATGATCCACATCCCAAACACCTTCTCATTCCCCCACTTCGTGCATCTCCTTGATGGAATACCTTGTGTTTTTCACAGGGTAAAATCAGAGACCTGAAAACATGGTCCCCACACAAAGCTTTGCAGACATTTAGAGTCCCATATGCATCAGACCACAGCACAAAATTACCCAAGGCTAGACCGCCCCCCCCCCCACCAAATAATTCTGAAGAGGGCAGACCGTCACAGTTGTGCAATGTGCCAGATTTTGGTTTTGTGTCCTTTCCAATGTAGTACTTAAATGGACACATCTCTTGGAATTCCAGTGAGAACATACGGTCCCAGCCCTGCTAGGTTTGGCAACGCCTCCCAGTGTGTGCGCAGCAGTGCTTCCAGAGGACAGCCACATGCCCACCTAAGCGTGGCCTCCGCTAATTGCATGTCCCCCATCCCCCCAAAGAAGGAAGGAGATGGGGGAGTGGACGCTCCTTATGAGCAGTGTTGAGTCTGGCTCTTCAGAGAGAGGCGTTCCTTGGTGAATTTAGGAGCCTGGCCTTTCTCCACCCCCTGCTCCCTCTCTGCCTTTGAACCTTGCCCACTGCGCACCCCCCACCCCCACCACACCCGGCGTACACGCAGGTAAGTTTTACACGGAGTGAGCCCCGCGTTGGCGTAGGTAACAGTTTCCCTCCCACCTGGATCGAAGCCCAGGAGGGAGCGAGTAGTGAAGGTGCGGAGGTGGGGGTCGTGGTGTGTCCCGGAAGTTAGGGTCCCTAGGCGAGACCAATTCAGGGCCAGCCAGGAGTATTGGTTCTAGACCCACAAATAGACCGAGCTTTTCCCTCCTCCGTCAACCTCTTAAGTCCCAATGAGGTCACTGCGATGAGAGAGAGTCAGATCCAGAGAGAGGGGGAGGAAGAGGACGACGACGAGGGAGAAGAAACCCAGACGGGAAAAGGCCATCAGACAAGGTCGCTTTTACTGGCGACACAGCAACTGCGAGGCGCGTGGTGCTGAATAGCATCCGCCCGCTCAACCTGGGGACCGAGGGACTCACAGAAGCACTCGGGGTTCGCACGAAAACAAAGGAGAGGAGACGAGCGGGAGCGGGAGAGGAGGCGCGGAGCAGTTCGGCTCTGCATCTCCGGGAAGCCAAGCTCATCTCCTTGGCAAGGAAAGGACCGGGCGCCTGACGGTTGGGAGGCGGAGGAGGGAGCGGGGTTTCCCCGCGGAGACGCGGGACGCGGCAGAACTCTGGACAGCGCCTCGCGAGCGGGACTCGGAGCCCCGGGCTGGGCCAGCCTCCGGGCTCCTCTTTGCAAGCCCCGCGCCTGGACTCCTCTGCTCCCCTGGACTCCGACCCCCGATCCTTCCACGGTGCCTGTCTGAACGTGCCAGGGGGCGGAGCGGCTCTTTTGCCTCTGGCCCAGTCAGGGAAGAGGGTCTCGGTTCTGGAAAGCCAGCCCTTGTGGATAATGCTTCACTGGTGAAGAAAGAAAAGTTTTGGGGTCTGGTGGGGGGAGGGAGGATAGTGGAAGAAAGAAGGTGGATGGTTGGTTTCCCACTCTGACCTGGAAGGAATGATGACCGAGGAAGGATGTGCACCAGCGGCCAGATTATTGGGAGCCTCTTGGTGCTCTCCGTGCTGGAGATAGGGCTGGGGGTGTCCAGCGTGGCCGTGGGGGCGGTCAGCTTCAGCCTGGCCCTCCGACAGCACAAGCCGCAGCTCGGAGACTCGTCCCCGGTATGGAGCGGGGTGTGTGTACGTTGAGCCATTTCACTCTCTTTACCTCTTTAAGGTGATGGGCAGTGTGCGTGCGTTAGTCACCCCCTCCCTGGGGAAGAAAAGCATAAATCTCCTCTGGCTTGCATGTAGGTTCGTGTTGGCAGGGTATGCCTCTTTATGTTGCCTTTTTATTTAGCACAGTGGTTGTTTTCTTTTTAATACCTTGGCTTAAGACCAAATTAAATGCTTTTGTTTCACGTTGGGGAGGGGGCAGTTTTCACCAGCTGAATCTGCAAAAGACTGCCCAGGAGTGCTGGGCAGGGGTCACACCTGTCAAGGGCAGGCTCAGCCTCTTGTTTTTTTTATAAGGGAAATCAAAATGAGAGTGTTGTTACATCATTGTCATGTACCCGGCACAAGCAAGGATAGAGTTATGCATTTATTTTGGAGTACACTGAAGGAAACACCAGCTTGAAAAAAGAGGACTTCGGTGTGGGTGTGAAAGGAGCGTTTGATCCCAGACAACCCTGCACTGAATTTTCCCTTGCTTGCTTTCTGTACTTCGCGTCGAAAAACTCTTGTAAGTTCCAGGCAATAAGTTGAACAACAAATGGTATGGTATTTAACAACATTCAAAAGGGAGAATAATAACTCAGCTCAAAGAGTGCCTAATGCTCAGAAAATGTCATACTTCTCTCTAGGTCAGATGGCTGACCCAAAGAGCTTCTTGTTTATTTACTTCAGGTGAACCTCTAGAAAAGCCTTAGAGATCCATTCCTTCCCCCAAGAGTCAATAAAATAACTCAGCACTATTCCTAGTAGGGATCTAATTGTGAAAGTCAACTTTTCTTCTCCTTTAAGTTAGATAGCTGCTATGTCCTTCTGGGTCTCTAGCTCGATGCTACTTTAGATCATTGAATAAAATGCTATTCTATCAGTGGTAATCAATAGGTGTAATTGATAATCATGGCTTAGTTACTTGTGCTTTAAGTTACTGAGGGAAAAATGATCATTGTTCAAGAAAAATATTTCCAAAGTAATTTATTTTTGAGGGAAATTCTAGCATTCTTAAAATCAGTACAATTCTGTTTTTGAAAATTTGTTTTAATATTTTAACTTTTCAAAGAGAAATGAATGTTTTTAAACTGCAGAAGTTAAAAAGAAAAAGAAAAATGGCCTTCAATTTTAATAGTGAATTCCTACAAGAATCCTTGTCCTAAATTCAATAAGTTACTACCAACTTCTGAATCATTACCTTTTTCTTTATCATGTAACTTTATCAATGAATATTTTAAATTTATATATGAAAATCTAAAAGGCAAAGCTTAAATCTATTTTTACATCATATATGTAGTAGTGATTATTTTGAGAGTTATAGTTACTATTTAAAAGAAATAGTGTGACTAAAACTGCTATCAGACGATTGTCAAAATGAAATGTAATGTCAGCATTTAAAGCGAGGGGAAGAAAATGTCATGTTTTGATGGCTTATGAGGGAGAAGCCTCAAACACTTCAAACCACTTACCTCCTGAAATTTAACAGATTGAGTGAGTGAACTTAGGTTGTCCCTAAATAGTATTAAAGTATCCCATAGAAATAGTTACATTTGCTTGACATCATGTAAGAAAAATAATTAAATGATTTTATCTCTTCCTAGACTATTTACTATTATCTAGATGAGTTGATATATGTGTATGTAAAGAAAATGAAAATTTTGATTCTCAGTGAAAAGCAAATAAAACAGTAATATGTATAGTCATTATCATAAATAATTATTTCCATTTTTAACTGGGTTTTTAGAGTAACCAAAATTCACCTATGACCCTAGAACAATAGTTCTGAATTCTATTGTCTGATTCAGTAAAAAAAAAAAAAAAGTTTCAAAATTACATGTGATTTCATACATGGATTTGAAACTAGAATGCCCAGTTGGTCACTTTCATAAACTGAAGTTAAAAAAGCAAATTTGTGAAGAAATCAGTATCAAGTTGTGATCATTGTTTATCAAATTATAGGCTTGCTAAGTTGATTTTTAAAATTATTTTTCAGAGATCATTTGTGGTACAGTTTGAATTCTCTCAATTCTCTCGATGATGGGTTCATAAAACCAGCATTTGTAGAGGGGTTGCCATGTGCAAGGCATTTTACTATTTTACACAAAGACTATTAAAGGGAATCAGAACGCCTAGCGCAGGAAACATGATGAGTACCTCACTATCTTTATCAGCGACAAATTAGAGCCTGGCTGCAGAGAGTTAAACGGACCGATAAAGGGAAAAGAAGTTGGGGTGGCCAATGAAACACCCATGTGAGAACTATTATTTTTCTCTTGATCTTGATCTTGCAACTTTAATAGGACTTGGAATTAATGTATCACAGTCTTAAGTAATATGTCACTGTGTGAAATCTGGAGTCTGTCTGGGTACACATCCAAGATCTGCCATTTGCTATCTGGATGACTAGCCAACGTTTCCTCCTATGTTGTAAAATAGCGTTATTAGAAGGCACAGATAAAGCTCTTAGTTAAGAGCACAGCATGTAGTATGCACTGAATAAATGTAAGCAGCTAATACTGGGGGCACAGATTGGCAGGAAGGGCAAGAGAAAGGAAAAGCTTTCAGGCAGCATGGATGAAAAGAAAAACCTGGGGCAGGGTGGGTTACCTTCCAGGAAGGGCAGGCGCCTCTCTTTTTCTGGGGCGTAAGTATGTGAGGGAGAGTTCAGGTTGGGAAGAGTGGTTAGGGCCAGCTCATAGGAGATTGTGTGTCAGTTCAGGGTAATGGATTTATTGCCTCATATTTAAAAAATTAATAATAATAATTCTTCCAAAAAAGACTCCAGGGAGATGTAGAGGAAAACTAGACAGAAAATTATGAATCTTTCTGGTATTTTATGAATTAAAAATCGGTATTATTTATGAACACAGGATGGCATTTTATAATAACGTATCAGGATAACCATAGTCTATAATCAGAATGTGTTTTGATTGGTGCCATGAAGTGTTTTCAGTACCTTAATATCATTATCACAAACTTCTGAATTAAATTTTAGAAGCCGAAGGAAATAAATACTGTACTATGAAAGGATTACTTCTTATATATGGAACCCAATGTCATAAACTCTTTTATCTAAGTCAAATGTACTAAGAATTCAGGTAAGCATTTTGATTACATGGACCCAAAATATTTTTAAAAATTTAAAAGATAGCTTAAAAACAAAATAGTATCAAGATAAAGGGCTTAAAATCCAGGAGATGGATGCTTACACAGATTATTTCCAGTCACTATTTCATAATTGGGCAAAGGGTGCCTCCTCAATCAGTTTGAAAGATGTGGACTTTTAGGAGGAAAAAATCTTTTAACTGTAATTTTATAGACAGAAAGCTATAAATACCTTTGTAGCATTTTGCTTCCTCTTGATTCTTTGTTATAGTTGATAGAGCCACCTCATTAAAAGCATAAAGGAAGACATAACTGTTAGATAACAATGAATGGATGATTTAGTGTAAACTGCTTTGGAAAAGACATACTCATGTGAAATATAATTGATGTGTAAGATTTATTAACAGAGTTAAATAGACAAGGCTATGTTTCCAAGTTGCTGTGTGAGTCACTTTTCTCAGTCTCCAGTGCATTATCTACAAAAGAAATGAACTGTATTTACTAGTACACAGGTTCATGGAACCAAGAGAATTTTATTTTCTTGCTCTAGGTGGACAGTTGGAAGTCTAGAAATTCAGATGGTGGTGCCTAGAACAACACCTGAGTCATAATTGATATATCTCATGCTAAATTCAATCCATGTATATCCAATAAACATGCTACAAAGTAAATATATTAAAAGAACTTTCAAAGCCTTGTTTGCCCCCCATACAAACATAGTCTTTTACAATATTCAGATTTTTTCTTACTTATATAAATTTTGAGTAATTTGAATTGCTTATTTTTCTAGAGCATACTTGATTTGTATATCATAACTTTACCTGCTTAATAAATCTGAATAATTTAAGTGAGTGAAATGTTTAGTATAATCAAGGCATGTACCTGTTGTGTGGACTTCTGATTCACCACAGCAACCACTCAGCCAATTTTAGGATTGTGATGAAACTCACGTACTGCACATTCTGATCCATACTGTGGCAATACAAATGATGTGCTATATGTAAATGAGACCTGCTCCAAAGTATTATTTTTAATATTTAAATCTGTCCAATTCATTTAAGGAAAAAAACCCAATAAAGTGAAAGAAATCCCTCAAATGTACAAAATTTGAAGCTAGTGTGTCTCTTACCAGATAATATATCATTATTCACCAGAGTCAAAATACATAAGGGATTCATATCCTATTGTATGAATTAAAACACTGACCTATCCTAAGAAAATAAAGCAATAAATGTATATTTATACCTCATTTTAAGACTAATTTTAGTTATACAATTAATTAATAAATAAATTCTCATTTCAAAGGGTTAAACAAGATTAAAACTGAAGTTCTTTTTGCTACCATGTCATCTAAATTAGCCACACTTATAACTTCAGTGTGTAATCTCATAGATGTTTCTCCATGCATAAATAGTATTGTTTGAACATATAGACTAATTTTGATCAAGCTTGTGGCATAATGAACTCTATTTATGAACTCCATGAAGCCCAGGTAAAGAATCTCCTCCTTATCTGATACACACTCCTATTCTCAAATCCTCGTTATCCACTGGAGTTAGGTTGTAGGAGTGTCCAACCTGCGGTCTGTGGGTCACAGGCAGCCCAGCACAAAATCATAAATTTACTTAAAACCTTTTTTTTTGCTCATCAGTTTTCATTAGTGTTTGTGTATTTAATCTGTGGCCCAGGAAAATTCTTCTTCCAGTGTGGCCCAGAGACACCAATAGGTTGGACACCCCTGGTAGGGCAATTAGATAATTGGCAAATAGATAAGTTAGCTAAGCTAAATTACTGGGAAATGCAGTTATTGTTCAAGGAACTTTGGTCACCTTCAGTCACCTATTTGTTGAAAATTTGCTTGATACAAATGGTCT